TCTTGCACACCCCCTACTGGAGATATGCCCGCAACCAAGTACATGCCCCTGACCGGAATCGAACCCGGGGCCTTTCAGTCCCCAAGCCGACGCTCTATCCATTGAGCCAAACCGGTTTCGGCTATATTACTCATTTTTTAAAACACACTCCATAATTGTGTTAGCATTCATTATTCTACTCCAGTGACTCTCAACCCTTGGCTTACCAAAAGAGCTGCCTATTAAAATAAATTGCATATTTCGGTACCATGCTTCGAGAAATTCTTATTTAGGTTTGATTAAGGGCCCAGGAATATGCATTTTAAACACACACACACACACACACACACACACACACACACAAACACACACAGTTGTGCGTAGAAGAAGAATTGGGTGGGGAAAGTTAAGGTATACCGGTAATAGAAACCTGGCCCTCTTACTTACTAGCTGTGTTATAGTGAGCAAATTGCTTAATTTCTGTGAGCCTCAATATAATTTGAGTTTTCCACTAGAGATGATAACCAGAAATTTATAAAAGGAGAGGAGTTTGGTATGAAGTGCTTACTGGTTATGTTCTGTGTTTTCAACATTTCATTTATAACCCTCCCCAAATCCCCGTGACAGGTATCATTTCCCTTGCTTTAGAGATGGGAAAGCTGAGGGCTGAGTGATTAAATTACTTGCTCAGCAAGTTAATTGCCAACAGTTAGTATGTTGGCAGATCCAGTTTGGGGACTTATATAATATGATTCCAGAACTTGTGCTATTAGTTATTGTGTGCACAAGCCTCTGTGAAAAGAGAAGCATGATGATAAACTTGAGAGGTCTGTGTCTTCAGAGCACAGGAAATTGGAAGGAGATGAGGTTAACAAGGTGGGTAGGGTTAGACCATGTAATTCCTTGAACATTATGTTAAAGATTTTTGTTTCAGCCAAAGTACAGTGTAAAGGCATGGAATGCTTAAATAGAGGGATGACATAATTGGGCTTGCATTTTGAAAGGTCATGGTTGTAGTAGACCAAATGGATTGGGCGGGGGGGCAACAGTGGTAGATGCAGTGGCACCCTTTTGGAGGCTGTTATAGTAAGTAGCCTGAGTAAGATAAAGTGGTAGCCTGGTGAGACTAAGGAAGTGATTATGCAGATGGAGGAAAGTGGGACAATTTGAGAAAGATTTAGGACATCTACAAGAGTTGGTGATGGATTGGGTTATGAATGAATAGAGAATATCAAAAATAACTCTTTAGGTTCTGAATTGCTGAAGTGGATACACTTTATTTTATATAAGACATACAGAAAGATGAGGTTGAATGACTAGATAATGTTATTAGAAGTGCCTTTGAGATATCCAAGAGGAGATGTCAAATACATATAATTTTATAGTACCATTGATAAATAAATGGGCTGTCCAGTCTTTTGTCCCTTTTAACAGCTGGTGAGTACTTTTCCAGAGTTTATTACAGTTGTTATCTCTCAAGTTACTGGTAATAAAAAATAATATAAATAGAGTTTGACTCTTAGTTATTATAGTTAGTAAAAGAATGTGAAAAGATTCTTCAACATAGAAAGCAAATAAGGAAAAGTATGCTAGGACAGTTCTCCTTTGGAGAATGGCAGAACTGAAAATATATCCTAGGGAAAACACTAGTAAAAAGAGGACAAAAGGGCTAATCTAAATATAAAATAACAATTTAAAAGTCATTCAGCAAACACGTTTTGATTGTTTATGTGATACTCTCAGGTTTTATGAATGCTCTAGAACTTTACGATCTATACTAGAGGTCGGTGCATCAATTCAAGGGTGGGGTCCCTTGGTCTGGCCAGTGATTAGGGCCGATCAAGGCAGAGGGGTCTGGCTAGCCAGGGGGAGGGATCATGGGAGGTTGGCCGGCCACAGGAGGTTAAATTAACCTCACAGGTTGGCTGGCCACAGGAGGTTGGCTGTGGAGGTGCACTGACTACCAGGAGGCCGCTCCTGCATTGAGTGTCTGCACCTTCATGGTCAGTGTCATAGCAGCTGGTTGACCCATTGTTCAGTTGCTTAGGGTTTTATATATATATATAGATTAGAGGCCCAGAGCTTGATTAAATTGTGCAGGTAGGGTCCCTAGACCTAGCCTGCTGCGATCAGAGCCATCTTCTGCCCATTCGCCAGTCCCCAGGCTGAATGCCACCCCTGCCGCCATGCTGTCAGGCCATTGGGATCAACAGCTCATCCCCGGCTCATCACTCAGGCCTGTGGGAAAGCGGGCACAGGAGATTCACCTCCATGTGCGTGCACTGGGCTGGCCACCTGCTGATGGAATGCACTGCCTGCTTGGGCCGCTCACGCAGGTGCCACTGCCCCTGCTACTGGGGCTTGACGTGCTGATGGAGGCTGCAGGGCGCGCCCGAGACCTACCCACCCCAGTGTGAGCATCCCCAAGCGGACAGCGCATTCTATCAGGTGGCCTGGCGCACGTGCATGGAGGCCTGAGCCCCTGAGCAGCTGGGGATGAGCTGTGATCTCAACGGCCTGACAGCCAGCCGGTCCTCCTACCACCCACCCTGACTACCCCATTCACTGCCTCTGATTCATTGGATCCTGTGGGCCTGCGGGGAGGGACCAAGAGGTCAACAGTCCAGCCCACTCACCAGTTGCTAGGCCCCCTCTGCCCCTGCTTGCAGGTGGGGTAGGGGGAGAGGAATCAAGAAGTGGTCAATGCCATCTCATGGCGACTGGTCGTTTGGTGGTTCTGGTTGTAAGGGACACTGGCTTTTTATATTTATAGACTAGAGGCTTTTATATTTATAGACTAGAGACCTGGTGCACGAAATTCATGCCCTTGGTGTGGGTGTCGGGGGGGGTTCCTCACAATCCAGGAGCCCAATGATCGATTGCCTCGCAGAGGGAGGCCCCGCCCACCCACCACAGTACCACAGGCCTGGAAGCCTGGGCCTCCCTCAGTGTGGTAATCGTAGGGTGATGGCAGGGTCCCCTGACCAATCGCATCGCACCTACCTTGGCTGGCCTGGCACCAGTGCGTGTCCATAGCATGGTTGTCTGGACGTCTGGATGGTTATTCTGCTATTCGGCCATTTGGTCGATTTGCATATTATGCTTTTATTATTATAGATAGCCAGGGGGCATAAAGCATGTAAACAACTAGTATATATAGAAAAGTAAATATTAAAACAGAGCCTGGCCAGTGTGGTTGAGCATCAACCTATGAACCAGGAAGTCACGGTTTGAATCCCAGTTGGGGCACATGGCCAGATTGCCGGCTCTATCCCCAGTGTGGGACTTGCGGTAGGCAACTGAGTAGTGATTCTTGCTTATCATTGACTAGAGGCCCGATGCATGAAATTTGTGCAAGAGTAGGCCTTCCCCCTGCTGCTGGCACCAGCTTCTCTCTGCACCCAGAACCCTGCTTCCCTCTGGCACCCAAGACCCAGGCTTCCTTCTGGCTGCCAGCAGGCACCTGGGACCTGGGCTTCCCTCGTAGCCCCAGCTTTGTCCAGAAGGTTGTCTGGAAAGATGTTTGGTCTAATTAGCATATTACACTTTTATTATTATAGATATTTCTTTCTCTCCCTCTCCTTCCTCTCTGAAGTCAATAAAAATATATTGGGGGGAAAAAGGAATTTCTTACCCTAATTTGTACTTAATAAATATTAATGGAAAAATGAGAAAAACAATATGAAAGATGAATTGGAGAAAATTAAACTGGAGACAGTCCAGGTGGGAAGTTAATTCATTAGTTTAGATAAGATATAATTAAAGCCTGAACTATGGATAGAGGAAGAGATTCTAGTCTGTTGGATTTACTATTTTATTAGATTGATGATAGAAGAGAAAAAGAGGAAGGGAAAAAATTTAAAAATCATTATGTAGTTTTCTCCTCAGAGACATAAAGAATCGTGGCGCCATTATCCAGGATTGGAAATGCAGGATGGATTTGCTAAATAGAATTGCTGGGTCATATGGTAATTCTATGGTTAGCTTTTTAAGGAACTCCCAAACTTTTTCCACAAAGGCTATACCATTTTATATCCTTATTAGTAATGCACAAGTGTTCCAATTTCTTCACATCTTTGCCAACACCTATTATTTGACTCTTTGATTATAGTCATTCTAGTGGGTATGAAGTAATAGCTTATTATTGTTTTGATTTACATTTCCTTAATGAATAATGATGTTGAGAATTGTTTCATGTGCTTATTGACCATTTGTGTATTTTCTTCGGAGAAATGGCTATTCAAATCCCTTGCCATTTAAAGAAATTTTTTAAAAACATTTTATTTATTTGTCAATTACCTTTGCCCATATTTAATTGGGTTAACCCAATTAATAATTGATTATATATTCTAGATATTAGGCCCTTATCAAATACATGATTTGCAAATATTTGCTTCCAGCTTCTTGATGGAAATATTAATGGAAAAATTAGAGGAAAATGTTTAACTTTGATAAGTCCAATTTATTATTATTTTTTTTAATTATATGTGCTTTTGATGTCATATCTTAAAAACTGTTGCACTTTAATATATATATATATATATATATATATATATATATATATATATGTTTTTTTTTGTTGTTGTTTTGTTTTAACAAAGAGGAAGGGAGAAGGAGAGGCATAGAGAGTTATAAACATGAGCCAGCTGCCTCCTGCACACTCCCCACTTGGGCTGCGCCTTTACTCTTTTATTAGATAGGATACTTACATGCTAGGTATAGTAGGAAATTTTTTTTTTTTAAGCATCATAGGTGATTCAGATAATGACCCAGATTTAGGAACTATAGTATTAGTAGGCCATACTTCCTTCTTAGTGAATTTTCAGACCTGAGATAATTTTATACAGGCTCTTAGAAAATGATCTTACACTAATTAATCTTAGCAACTTTTGTTTTGCCTGACTTTTCTTCTCTCATTTCTCTTCAATAGGTTATGCCAAAGTGGCTTCATTCATACAGATGAACCAAGGATTGGGATAGCAAGTATAAAATTAGCATCAAACAGCTGATTGCCCAGCAGGATGCCATCAACTAACAGAGCAGGCAGCCTGAAAGACCCTGAAATTGCAGAGCTCTTCTTCAAAGAAGATCCCGAAAAGCTCTTCACAGATCTCAGAGAAATTGGCCATGGAAGCTTTGGAGCAGTGTATTTTGTAAGTTTTAAAAGCTTAATGTCAGTGACTAGCATTTACTTAATATCCAGTTCTGGCAGAGAAAAAATCAATAATATAAAGAGATATAGGCCATAGTACATTTTATAATCACTTGAATAGATTGTGTGTGTGTGTGTGTGTGTGTGTGTGTGTGTGTGTGTGTGTGAGTGTGTGTATAATATAAGAATAGTTTTATTTATCGAGCGTGGATTATTGAAGAATATTATTTTGCTTTACCTTACATTTTTAGAGGTTTTTGTGTGTTTTTTTTTTTTAATATATTTTTATTGGTTTTAGAGAGGAAGGGAGACCGAGATAGAGATAGAAACATCAGTGATGAGAGAGAGAATTATTGATCAACTACCTCCTGCACATTCCCCACTGGGGATCGAACCCGCAACCTGGAATTGAACCTTGATCTCCTGGTTCATAGGTTGACACTCAACCACTAAGCCACATTGGCTGAGAACATGTTTAAAATTTTTAGCTCATTGTTTTATCACTTGTATTGCTATAGAATTAAACATTGCAGAACACTTGACTTCTGTAAAGTCCCATAAAAAATCAATTTTAGTATTGTGAAAATGAAGGATTATTATTTGGCAGAAGGATATGAACCAATATCATTTTCTTAGTGTGTATGTTTGTACTTTATGCTAAAAAGAAGTCAAATAACCATTTTTAAATATATATATATCTTATTGATTTTTTTTACAGAGAGGAAGGGAGAGGGATAGAGAGTTAGAAACATCGATAAGAGAAAAACATCGATCAGCTGCCTCCTGCAGCTGGGATTGAACCTGGGACTCTTCAGTCCGCAAGCTGATGTTCTTTCCACTGAGCCAAACCAGTTAGGGCCAAATAACCATTTTTAAGTATATAGTTTGTGGCATTCATTATATTCACAATTTTGTACAACCATTATCGCTATTGATTTTTAAATTTTTTCATCACCTCAAACAAAAACTCTATATCTATTAGCAATACAAATTTCCCCCTCCACTAAGCCCCTGGTAACCTCTAAACTGCTTTTTTCTCTGTAATTTGCCTATTCTAATATTTGATATAAATGGAATCATATGATACTTGTTACTTTAGCATCTCTTCAGAGGTCATCCATGTTGTAACATCTATTAGTAGTTCATTCCTTTCTATAGCTGAGTAATATTCCATTGTATGGATATACTATGGTTTGTTTATTTGTTCATCTATTGATGGACACTAGATTGTGTCTACCTTTTGGCTATTGTGAATAAATGCTACAGTGAATTTCAGCATACAAGTATTTATTTCATTCCCTGTTTTTGAATTTTGTTGTGTTTATAAGAGTGAAAATTTCAGATTACATGAAATTCTATGTTTAAGTTTTTGAGGGAATGCCAAACTACATCATAGTGTCTGCACTGTTTTCATTACCACCTGTATGTAGTGGAGTTCAATTACTCTATATCCTCGCAATACTCTATAGCCTCTTTTCTGTTATTTTGATTGTAGCCTTCCTAGTAGATGTGAAGAGGAATCTTGTGGTTTTGATTTGCATTTTCCAAATGACTAATAAAGTTGAGCATCTTTTCATGTGCTTATTGGCTATTTATATATCTTAGGAGAAATGTCTATTCAAGTCCTTTTCCCATTTTTTTAAAGTTAGGGTTTTGCCTTTGTTGTTGATGCCTCAGGGTTCTTTATGTATTCTTAATATTAAATTTTTATCAGATATAGGATTTTCAGATATTTTCTCCCATTTTCTAGTTTTTTTCACTTTCTTGAAAATGTGTTTGATATGCAAAAGTTTTAAATTTAGATGAAGAGCACTTTATCTGTTTTTTTTTTTCTTTTGTTGTTTGTATTTTTGGTGTCATATCTAAGAAGTCATTGCCAAATCCAAGATTATGAAGATTTACCCCTGTGTTTCCTTCTTAGAGTTTTATGTTCTTAGTTTTTATATTCATTTTGAGCTAATTTTTATATGTGTTGTGAGGTAGAGGTCTCCCTTTATTTTCTTGCATGTGAAAATCCAGTTATCCTAGTGCCATCTGTTGAAGAGATTATTTTCCCCTCGTTGCATTTTCTTGACTTTCTTGTCAAATCAATTAGCCATATTATATAGGTTTATTTCTGAACTCTCAGTTCTATTCTCTTTGTCTGTATAATCATCTCTGTACCATTATATCACCATTTTGATTAATGTGGCTTTTTTAGTAAGTTTGCAGTCAGGAATAACTCTGTTCTTCTTTTTAAGTATAGTTTTGGCTATTTTGGTCCTATTGTAATTCCTTATGATTTTCAGGATTGGCTTTTCCATTTTTGTTTAAAAAATTTGTTGGAATTTTGATACAGATTGCTTAAACGTATATATGTCATGTTTGGTAGTATCAACATCTGAATCAGTGTTAAATTTTTCAATCTATGAACACAGGATGTCTTTCTAAACATTTATTTAGAGATGCTTTAATTTTGTTCAGCAATTTCAATGTATAGGTGTTAAACTTCATTGCTTAAATGTATTCATCAGTCTATTATTCTTTTAGATACTGTTGTAATTAGATTTACTTGCTTATTTGCCATTTAGATTGTTCATTGTTGCTGTATAGAAATAGAGCTGATTTATGTGTATTGATCTTTTTTATTACTTATTTTTCAATTACAGTTGGCATACAATATTATATTAGTTTCAGGTACACAACATAGTGATTAGACATTTATATCCCTTACAAAGTGATCAATCTATACGTCTAGTACCCATCAAATACCATCGTTATTAAAATAGCTATATGTTAAATTAATAACTAATTAAAACATTATTAATTGTGCTGTACTTTACAATCTCTGTGACTATTTTTATAACTGGAAATTTGTAAATTTTAATCTCTTTCAACTTTTTCACCCATCCCTCCACCCCCACCCCCGTCTGGCAACTGCCAATTTGTTCTCTAACTATGAATTTGTTTTGGATTTTTTGTTTATTTTATTTTATTTTATTTTTTAGATTACACATATAAGTGAAATCATATGGTATTTGCCTTTCTCTGTCTGATTTATTTCACCTAGCATAATACCTCCAGGTTCATAGGTCCATCCGTGTTGCAATGGCAAGATCTCTTTTTTTTTTTTAATGGCTAAGTAATATTTCATTGTTTATGTGTATCTCTATACCACATCTTCTTTATCCATTTGTCTATCGATGGACATTTAGGCTGCTTTTATATCTTGGCTATAAGATATATCTGCTTTTATATCTTGAACCTAGGGTGTGATCATATAGGTGTGTATTTATTTCTGGATCCTCTCTTCTGCTTGTTGTTCTATATGTCTGTTTTTATGCCAGTATCATGCTGCTTTGAATTCTATAGCCTTGTAGTATAGTTTGATATCAGGTAACATGCTACCTTCAATTATGTTCTTTCTCAAGATTGCTCTGCTATAGCTATTTGGAGTTTTTTTGTGGTCCCACATATATTTTAGGGTTAGTTCTAGTTCTGTAAAAAATGCCATTGGTGCCCTGACTGATTTGGCTTGGTGGATAGAGCCTTGGCCTGCGGACTGAAGGGTCCTGAGTTTGATTCCTGTCAAGGGCATGTACCTTGGTGTAGGCACATCCCCAGTGGGAGGTGTGCAGGAGGCAGCTGATCAATGTTTCTCTCTCATCGATGTTCCTGACTCTCTATTCCTCTCCCTTACTCTCTGTAAAAAATCAATAAAAAATATATATATATTTTTAAATGCTATTGGTATTTTAATAGGGATTGCATTGAATCTTCAGATTGCTGTAGGTAATATGAACATTTTAATGATGTTCATTCTTATGAATAGAATTATTAGGGATGCCCCCTTCTCTAGTGCTTGGACCTCCTTATGCGATAGTTTCTGGGTTGTTTTACCCGGGCTGGATTATTTCTGAGAGCTGTGGTTTTGGTAAAGGATGTCTTATAATCTCAGAAGTAAGGATTTAACAGGTACAACAAAAGCCAAATTAGTGTAAGCTAGTTATCAGGAGCTAGCTCTGGAAAAACCTGGTGATTAAACACAATGTTCATAATCCTGGATTGGAAAAAAATCCTATAAAGGACATTTCTGAGATAATTTGTGAAATTTGAATATGGACTTTATATATACTGGATAATAGTATTATATCAATGCTAAGTTTCCTAAATTTGATAATTGTACTGTGGTTATTCAAGAAAATGTTGTTATTCTGATGAGATATATGAATAAGTATTTTGGAACTAAGAGTGAGAATGTCTACTCATATCCTCTTTGGTAATAAAATAATAATAATGTGCTCTAACTAGTTTGGCTCAGTGGCTAGAGAGTAGGCCTGTGGACTCAAGGGTCCCAGATTCTATTCCAGTCAAGGGCATGTACCTTGATTGCAGGCACATACCCAGTAAGGAGTGTGCAATAGGCAGCTAATTGATGTTTCTCTCTCATCAATGTTTCTAACTCTATCCCTCTCTCTTCCTCTCTGTAAAAAAATCAATAAAATATATTTTAAAAATAATAATGATAGCCGAAACCGGTTTGGCTCAGTGGTAGAGCGTCGGTCTGTGGACTGAAAGGTCCCAGGTTCGATTCCAGTCAAGGGCATGTACATTGGTTGCGGGCACATCCCTGGTGGGGGGTGTGCAAGAGGCAGCTGGTTGATGTTTCTCTCTCATTGACGTTTCTAGCTCTTTATCTCTCTCTGTAAAAAATCAATAAAATATATTTTTAAAAAATAATAAAATGTAATGATAACATTGTATATCTTGAGATAGAGAGTCTAAAAGTAAATGTGGCAAAATGTTAACCAAGGATTATTCTATGGTAGGAGCTGGAAACTACAGAGCCCTTGGGCCAAATCCAGCCTGTGAATTAATTTTGCTCAGCTTTCAAACTAAGAATGGTTTTTACATTGGAAAAAGAATAAGAATATGCAAAAGAAAAAGACCATGTATTTGGCTTATTAAAATATTTAATATCTCTTTATATAAAAAGTTATTGACTTCTTACCTAGTAGCAGG